GGAGAGGGAGAAGCAGACTCCCCACTGAGCAGGGAGCCTGATGCAAGGCTTGATCCCAGGACTCTGAGATCATGACCTGAGCCAAAGTCAGATGCTTAACTGATGCTTAACTGACTGAGCCAGTAACTACCTGTAATATGTAGTCTAGAGAGGTTTTTTTGGCCAAGTGAGATCCAGGGTTATAGTAGTAAAATAAGGATAGTAACAAAGGTGATGATTTCTTACACATATTTAGCAAGTTTGCAAGACAGTCTTACAGTATTTGTTGGTGTTGGTTCCTCATAATCTAGAAAGAGAAAGGGGGGGATAACTAGTTAGCCCTAGCTTCGAGGGCCAAATTGAGATGATTGCTAATACACAGTTGGAACCTGTGGAGCTTATCCTCTTTGGAGCCCTTGGTTGCATCTAAAATGAAATGAGAGCATTTAATACGGCATTTGTGATTTGGTTGGTTTTAGGAGGATGTTCTGAGCTTACTGGAAACCTTCCAGCTGGATACAAGGCTGCTTCATCACCTGTGTGGGCATTCCAAGGTAAGAAGGAAAGTAGGTCATGGCACCAGCCCACCTGTTGGCTTAATCTGCAGTGTGATTAGGAGATCCACAGGCTCCAGTTCCTTCTTCCTTGTTAACCCTTCTTTAGTCTTTATTTTTGAGACCGTCTGTCCAAAGGCAGTTTAATTCAGAGTGGTCAGATCCTTAGTTGCTAGTTGAAATTGGGCAGTCATGTAGAGGGCAGTTTCTGTATCTAAAGTTTGACTCAAACTCCATACCACTCTTTCCTCTAGAAGCTTCTCTTTGGTGAGAGAGAGAGAATGTTGGTGGACGTGTTGCTTCTATAAAGTACTCTGGGTGGGAGGAATATTATGTAAGTGATGAATCTCTGCTAGAGACAAGAGGTGGTTCTAAAACCAACCATATTCAGAGCTTTTCAGCTGTACTATTTACTTGTCAAGGAACACATCTGTCTCTTGTGAGAACATTTTACCATTAGAGGATTTTTCCACTTAAAGCCTACATACAGTTGAACCGTTGTCACTTTTTGTATGAAGAAACACAGAACCATAGAGCTCTGTAGTCATGGGCAAACCAAATTCTTTCTCAGTCCAGTTTCTATTGCTCACTTCCTCCCTGGTTCTAACTAGAAGTTGCTGAACAGAGGAGTTTTAAGGACCCCTAGCTAAATAGGGATACTCTGTTGTTTAATATCAGTATAATACATGTTTAAGAATATGTTAGGTAAATTCATTGATAATTGGTCAATAAGAGGTTATGAAGAAGAACCTAAGGTGTTGGTAGTATGTCTTCTAGACTCTTTTATCTTGAAGGAGAGCTTTCATTCTCTTCAGAGTATTCTGTCAAACTACTGTTTAATGGAACATGTCTCAGGCCTATATTGGGAGGACTTTTGCTCTTATTCAGTGTTCAGGATATCAGGAACTCAGAAGTTTCTATATAGGAATGTGAAAGCATAATGATAAATCCCGATGAGTTGGTGCATTTGTTTCCATTTAGATTCACCAGGACACGAAACTCACCAAACATGTGCCCTTGCTCAAAAAGACCCTGGAGCTTTTAGTTTGCAGAGTGAAAGCCATGCTTATCTTCAACAATTGCAGGGAGGCTTTCTGGCTGGGCAACCTCAAAAATCGGGACTTGCAGGTAAGCCTAGGGCCCAGCCCAAGATAATCTACTCCCACTCTTTGTGAGAGCATCAGAAGTATGTCAAGGAGGTCAGTGAAGCCTTGTTCTCTCTAAAAGACTGCCTTTCTCTTAAGGCTGTGGCCATTTAGCTCTTAAAATTAGGTCTTAGTCATGGGTCTTAGTCATGCTTCTGGTCTTAGTTTTGGGTTCTACCCCTCCTCCTAGCCATACCACTGTAACAACAAGGCCTCAGAGATAGAAGAGGCAGATCAATAAAACCTCTCTCCTCGGCCAGAGTGGGCTCCTGCTGTAAGTACTACTGAAGGTAGATTCATAATAATAACATTTGTTTATGTGGACAGACTTTTTAAAAAATATTTTGGGTCTTTTTCTGAAACACTCTGTCTTATTTCTGAAATTATTCTCTGCCTAATTTTAACAAATAAACATTTCTAAGGTCCTTGAACTGTCTGGCTGAAATCTTCTATGGCTTATAGTACTGCTTTGGAGTTTTAGCAATTTTCTTTTTTCTTAAAGATTTTATTTTTTTATTTATTTGAAAGAGATAGAAAGCACACAAGCAGGGGGAGTGGCAGGCAGAGAGAGGGAGAAGGAGAAGCAGACTTCCCAGTGAGTAGGGAGTCTGATATGGGGCTCGATCCCAGGACCCTGGTATTGTGACCCAAGCTGAAGGCAGACGCTTAATGACTGAGCCACCCAGGTGCCCCGAGTTTTAGCAATTTTCATATAGAATCCAAGCCCTTCTCATTCATGTTTACAATAGCTGAGGGGCTTATAATCTTATATATGAAAAGAATAGCACCCTGGAGACTTAGTTTCCTTTCATCACATTTGTTTTATGAGATATTTCCACAATACTATTAAACAAAGTACTGTAATAAAACAATACTGTTATCTCCATGAGAAAAATAAACCTTAAAGGTGTTAAGTAACTTACCTAAAGTCATTCAGCAATAAGTGAGAACTGCCAGGGTTTGAGTCCAAACAGAAATGATACAAAGCTGATGTTCTTAAACCACTTTGTATACTGTCTTTCAGCCTCAACATGGCCATTTGTAGTTGGTGTGTTGGTGGTCATGTACTTTAAGGTCTTTGGGAAATCTCAGCCGTACTCAACATTTACTGAAAGAGTCACCAATATACCCTGGCCTTGTAAAATCTAGTATGATACTAGAATACAGCAATGGACTAGTTGTAAAACTACATATTATATTAGTCCCACACATGTCTCAGAAAACTTGGGTTGATTATCACTTCTCTGGGTGCTAGATCACAGGTTGATGTCTGTGTTTGACCATGTTAGAATGCCTAGAATATTATCTTTCCCATTGCCTGTAAACTAAGCCTTTCTCCTCTTGAGACCCCAAATATGATAATTATAACCCACCATTTGTCTTGGCCCATTCACGTTTAGGGTGAAGAGATTGTGTCCCAGAACTCCGAGGAAAGTGAGGATGATACAGCATCCCAGGTCTCCAAGAGCAAAGCAACGGAGGTATCTCTGCATAAGGCCCCAGAGTGTGCAGTGGCTTGTTGCATTTTGTTACTTATTCTGAGTCAGTAGAAAGTATAGAACTTTTACTGCTAATTTTTTATTTAAGTTTACTTATTTATTTTAGTTTTCTCTACACTGTACCTGGGGCTTGAACTGAGATCAAAAGTTACCTGTCCTTCCAACTGAGCCAGCCAGGCACCCCTCCCTGCTTATGTTTATTATCAAAGACTTCTGTGCCCATCTCCATTCTCTCCAGAAAAACTTCTGTTTTTATATGAATTCTTTGGGGGCCAGAAGAGTATCTCAAGTTGTGGCATATGTTACAGAGTTAAAAATTCCCTTTCATTATTCATATTAAATTCATATCTGAAATAATTTTAGAGGGGAGAAAAGGTTGAGTGTTCTGTGTTCTCTGAGTGCTGAGAATAAGTTAAAACATTTAAATATGTGGTTTGAATATATAAAATAGAAATATAAATGCATCAAAAGCTGCATTCACTGGGGACTATAGTAAGAGTAAGGGTCCTTATTCTTTTCTGGGCCACTTTCAAGACTTTGAAGAAAGCTGTAGGAAAATGTATTATGTTTATAAAATTCTCCTTAAATTCATATGGGTTTTAGACACCAAGAAGCTCAGATTTAAGAACCCCTGCTGTGAAGCCTCTCTATAATGCAATTTGAGGCTAATGCAGAAAGATCATTTAGCATGAAAAATACTTTTATTATTTATATAGTATACCTCTACCTTGTTCTCATTAAAAATTTTTGAAGCCGATGGTACCCTATTAGTTTGGTAAGCAAACCTCCCAGGTTAGAGCTGCAAACCAAAGGATTTTATGCTGAATTCCTTATTGAGATATACCAGAATTCTTAATTTAGCAAACATTTCATTCTGTATTGAGTGGAAGACAATGGCTTATTTAAAAATCGTGTGAATTTGGTTCAGTTGCAGAATGTCATAGGTCAGTATCACAGTGACCTCCCTCCATGGTCATGATACAAGAAAAATGGGCGCGTTTCAATTCTTTTTTTAGAAACAATGAGTGGCTTAACAGCTATCATTGGTTTTAACAATGATACAGTACAGTGATAAATCCTGTGGGAGCAGTATTGTAATTTATGGGGACACCTAGATGACCTAAAATATCTAATTAACCTTTGCCCCTTAGGATGGTGAAGAAGATGAAGTAAGTGATGAAGAAAAGGAGCAAGATAGTGAGGAGAGTGATGGTGACTCCGATTAGACCACAGAGAGATGGGTGCCCCTTCTCCATCTCTGCTAGACTCTTCCCATTTTGTGTTCAGGGTTTGAAATCTGCTATCCTCCTTACTGGAAGCATCCTGTTCTGTCATTACAAGAGTGGGCTTTACTGAATCACCTTAATTGTGAATTTCATAGGTCATCTAACATCATCAGAGACCCTGGCTCAGGATTCCACTGTAGCATTACTTACCTGTCTGGGCAAATGTGGTGGTGCTTTGCTGTGGAATACTCACGATTCTGGGCTTTGGGAGCTAGTTTTGAAACTAAGAATTTAGGATTGTGCCAGTTTTACAAATAAATTCTTTTTTAAGTTCTGCCTCAACTACCTCATTTCTCGGAATTTTCTTCATCAATCAAGAATTACATGGAATTCAGTTAGGATTTGTGCAGAGAAGTAATGGGAACTGGTGCCAACACATCAGTTCTACCAATTAAAATCACGTTTCCTGTTCTAAAGATCATCTTTATTTGAGATAAGATCTTTGTGATATTTTTGGAGGAATGACAAATTTCTGGTCAATGCCCAAAGGAAGTCCAAAAGGATAATTCTGGCTGCTTTTTAAAATTTTTTTGGTCATGTAGTTGTAAGATAAAAAGGGAAAAGTCACCATCAAACTTGTGTTGACTTTTGTATATATGTTAATTTCCACATTATTCTGAGTTACATCTATAGATTTGTTAGAACGGTGCTAAAATGGGGAGCTCTCTTGTGTTCTGCCAGAAAGCCCAGTTTCATTGCTGCTTCCAAGTTCTTTCTTACCAGGCTATAAATATTCTTTAATATTTGCTAATATTACTACCCACTTTTGTACTCCAATGGTATTAGGATGTGGTTGGTTAGGGTTTTCTGTTGTTGGTTTGGTGGGGGAGATCATTTGCTTTGTTTGTTGGTTTGTGTTTTTTTTAATCCTTGACCCGTCTGTATATTTTTGACCCCTTCATCCTCATGTACATGGAAAGCCATAATCTCCTTCCTTGACACCCTTTGTTTCCCCATCTCATTGTGGTCTTCGATGTTTTAAGTGAGTTCACACTAGGCTCGTTGGTTTATATGGTTTAATGGTTCTTTCTCACATGTACATGTCAACACTAGTTTGACTCTCTTTTAAATGTTATTCAGCTTTACAGTGGAAATGTTCTCCTTTGCTCTGTCACTGGCCTTTGGGCGGGGGATGGGGGAGTTGGCATAGGAGTTCCTGAATTGCCACTGCTTGACAGAAAAGCAAGATGGCTCGGGTGATGTCAGTTTCCTTTACATGGACAGGTTTCTGTAAGCTTCAGGCACATAGCATAGGATATGGTATGAGGAACAGGAATCAGATGGGAACCCTTTACTTGGAGTGTTGCAAGGCAAAGGTGCACTTTTTGTATGTTGCATACAATAAGAGGATAGAGCGCAGCATCTGTTTGCACATGGTCACTGTCATCTGAATCTGAGGTTCCTTAAGTCCAGTGGGCCACTGGTTCTCCCGGCTGATGATTTTGCAAAAGGCTGATTTGTCTGAAACTCTGAAGGTCCCAGTCCATTTTGGTGGCTGAGCTGTGATGACCCTGCCGAACACGGAATCCACTCCACTGAGACGGACAGGCTGAGGCTTCCTGACCAGGCCTTTCTTGTTGTTCATGGTTCGGAGCTCTGATGTGTGGCAGGGTAACTTGGGACTCACCCCAGGCTCCAGAAATGGGCTGTCTAGGACTAGAGTGACCTCTTGAAAGCACAACTGCACTTCAAGGTCAGAAGGGGTATGTGGGAAGCAGGGGGAAGCCCTAAAGGGATGCTTTGAAGAAGGTGTAGGTGTTGTGTGCCGCAGCCATTGGAAGCTCTCATCCAGTGGGGTCCATGGTGACCAGAGCTGGTATCCTGCCATTGACAGTCCTAAAGAAGAGGAATCAGAACATGGAATTTCCCTAGCATGGTTTTGGTGAGGACACGGCCATTTAAATTCACATTTGTTTCATTATTGACTTTAACTTACTTTGTAGTTCTTATTAACAGATTCCAATAGATGTTAAAGGTTCTAGTAATTCTATAAAGGGCATCATTAGTGGTTGGTAACAAGTATTGAATCTGGCAACTGCTATGTGTACTGAAACTTTATTGAATCTAATTACAAGCCTCTGAAGGTCGGTCTTAACCTATTTTACAGGTGAGGAAATGGATTTGTCCCAAGCGGAATATCCCAGTTCACTAATAGGACATATGCTGTGTTGATAACTACTAAAGACAGAATCTACACCTCTGAGATGGCAGAGGCTGCTGGCACTTCATGATGAGACATTATTTGTGGCTAGAAGCTCAGAAAAGCCATGTCTTGCCAAATATTTGTGACTCTAATTCCCAGTACTTTATTTATACCAGTGGTTCTCAAAATGTGATCCTGGCACTAGCAGCTTCAGTGTCATTTGGAAATGTAGAAATGCATGTTCTTGGGCCCTACCTCAGACCTACAGAATCAGAAACTGGGGGTAGAGCTTGCAATCTGCATTTAAACAAACCCTCCAGGGGATTCTGATGCACTCACAGTTTGAGAACTTACGCCATTCCTTTTAAGGAACTTAGGTTTTCATTATTAATTATGGAGACAATCTCCTCTTGGCCCTAAAAACCCGTTTTCTGACACAGGGGCAACAGCTTTCTCAGGGCCCTGAACTACTTATGTACTACCTCAGTGGAATTACACCAGACTAGTAGGAAGAAAAGTTTCCAAAGGATGGTCTTAAAAATTTTTAAAGATTTTCCTAATTCTCCTAGGTGTGTTTTGTCTTGTTTTTGGTTTGTTATGGGAGACCTAGTGGTTAAGATCTTGGTTCTTACCCCCTTTGAAGAAAAAGCAAAAAAGGCTGGGAAGATGTTTCTAACTAAAAATTTATTTAAGTAGAATTTGGATTTTCCATCATTCTACTTTAAAATTGCCAATAGATAAAAGGTTTTACTGAATTCAGAAGAAGCTAATATTTTTTGAGCACCTACCTATTATGTTAAGGGGCATAGCAGTTCCCTTTTCTTTCCAGCCAAGTATATTTCTCTGCCCCTCTCTCTTCTCCCACAAAAGGTAACAGCAGCAGATCTGATCCCATCCCATCCAGTAATTGCCCAGGAAATGCTGTGAAAAGTTGACTCCTCCACCACAGTAAAACAGTAAAGTTCATTTTTTAAAAAGAGTTGATGTCATTTCAAACCAGAAGACTTGTCCCTGACAGTGGTTAGTATAAAGGAGATTTATTGTTTTCTTTCAACTGTTACGTCTCTCCTTATCTCTACACTCCTTCACTTACTGTGTTCAAATATCTGGACTGCTTTAGGATGAGAAACTGACACTGAGGGGATGGTTATCTATTACAAGCAGACTATGAAAGTCTTCTGATGCTTGATATCATCACCCTGAGAATACATCCAAGATCAGGGCTCCTCTGCTACAGCACCTCGGCAAGGTGGTGTGTGAAGGGTGTAATTCCTCAGTATATGACCAAAAAGATTATTTAATCCCAGGATCCTTTTCCTGACTCCCCTCCTAAGAGCAAATAGGGCCAGAGGTAAAAGGCTTTTTATCAAAGGTCCCGCCTTAACTACTGGACAGAACCAACCTGGGGATGAGAGAGGGCTTCTGACCCCAGACCTTTAAGCCACTTCCACCTAAAGTTTAAATCAAGACGATTCACCCCTCTTCTCCCACTACCCGGAAATCACTGCCCTCTACTCCAAGAGGGTTTGAACCTTGGAAGTCTTCAGGCTGCTTTAATAGTTCCCAAATAGGGAACACCTTGTACTCCTGGCCAAAAAGTCTTCCCTTTCATACGGTCCTCCCGTTCCAAGAAACCGAGTCCCTCGATTTCCCCACCTGGGAAAGGGGACGTAAGCGTCCAAATGCAGCTGAGGTCCTCGTGAATTGTGAACTGCGATCCTGATGCAGAGAGGCTGGAGCTGCCCGGAGTGGGGAGGCTCCCCCTCCCAGCGGGAAGAAGGGGCTTGTTCCCCGGGGGTCCCTAACCGGGGGTGGGGGCCAGACGGCTCTGGCCCGAGGCGGAGGTGGCGGTGGGAGCCCGGGCCCGGTCCCACCATCCGGGCCGGGGGCTCACCTGCTGAACTCCGTGGGCCGCACGCTCCAGAGTGGCGGCCGCTGTTTCCCGGCCGCATCTTTTCTCCACCGGGCGCCTGGCAACCGCCTTTGTGACCCAGGTCCGCGGGAGGAGCCCGGGCCGCCGCGGGGGTGGGGGCTCGATGCGCCCCGCTGACAGGCTTCAGGGCCGGATTCCCCACCCCCACCTCCTTGGAACGCCGGGTCCAGGCCTACACCCTCAGGCGTGCGGTTTGGAATCCCTCTTTGTTCCGCCGCGGCCTCCTTACCCCGCTACACCTGTGTGTTTTTGAGCTGGTCCTGGCGGGCGGGCACGCCCACTTCAAAGGGTGTGGTCAGGGACCTACTTGAAAGTCCCCGGACTTTTAGTTCGTCTTGACTCTAAACAATGCTCAGGGGATTATTCAGGCTCAAAGCTTGCATTTCTGCATTAGAATGATCCCGGCTCAAGGAGACAATTTATAAATGCTCGCTTCTCAAGAGCAAGAAGAAAAGCACATGTCTTCCCTTGACTAACTGACCAAAAATCTTTTTCTGCCTCCTGTTAAATCTCAAAAAAGACAATGCCGTCCTCTTCTCACAAAGCTGAAAACCTGACCATTTCACCATAGTGAGTGATTTGAGAACTTCGTAAGCGTCACTGCAAACAATTTCCTTGGAAGGCTGAGGGAGGAGTCTCTACCCAACTGACTCGTGTGTCCCCAGTGCCTGGCTATCCCACAGCCTGGCAGTGTGAAGTATTTGTGGCAAGGATTAGCTAATGGCCTCACCTGCCCTTACATTGTACACCCAGAAATTGCCCTTGCACTTTGCCAGCTGTAGAGCACAGCACAAACAAGAGCTGTCACCTTTTGTCTGGCTCCTTGGGAGAAGCTGAACAGGAGAGATTGGGGCCGCGGGGTCCGGGGGGCGGGGGGAGTCAGGCTAAAGATCCCGATTTGGAAGACCAGATGGTCTTGAGGCACTTGTGGAGAATTGTCAGATGCTGTGTGCCTGTGTGTGTGTGTTGCACCCTATGGAAGGAGAAGGGGAGAGTTTGGAAGCGAAGTCAGAAAATGGAAAGGGGTAGAGTGATGAGTCTTGGAAGATGCTAAAATGATTTGAATTGCAAAACTTTGTTTTCCAGTGAGTTTATTCTTATTTTCATCTGGAGTAAAAGAGATACTGTTATTTTAAAAGCAAACAAACAGTTTTTATTGCACAGTTGTGTTTTTTTAATTAAAGTCCCAAAAGCAAAATTGTATAATTAAAAGTGCTTGGATAGAGAGGGCTTAGTGCTGCTATGACAGTCTGTACCACAGTCCTCTGTGCCATCTGCCAGCTTTGAGGGAGCTATTTTTGGAGATACCATTTGCTATTACCTCTGGCTCTGATACTGCAGTTCCATGGCTACCACACAGATATGGAAAACCAGAATCTCCCATACTACCCGTTACTGATGACCTACAACATCAACTTTGTCTGTATCATGCAGTGCTCAACATTCTGTGTGCACTTTCCTCAGGGATTGCCATGACAGTAGTCATGTTTGCTCTGCCAAAAGATGATTCAGTTCTTTCAAAGCAGCTAGCAACATTGTCATGGTGCACATGCTGTATCCTTAGCTGCATAAATGATGGTCCAAGTGCACATGATTGAAAAAAAAGATTCACATGACCATTCTTTTTTTTTTATTTTTTTTAATTTAATCATTTTTTAAATTTATTTTCAGCATAACAGTATTCATTGTTTCTGTACCACACCCAGTGCTCCATGCAGTCTGTGCCCTCTCTAATACCCACCACCTGGTTCCTCCAACCTCCTACCCCCCCAACTTCAAACCCTTCAGATTGTTTTTCAGAGTCCATAGTCTCTCATAGTCACATGACCATTCTTAATGCAATTGACACATTTCCTCAAGAATTTGATCCCACACTGATTATTACATGCAGAGCCATTAACAAGATTCCCCAAGTTCTGTGAAGCACATGGTAGATCTAAAGTCAAGGATCTTGTTTTCTTATGCTGAAGCAATCTGCCACCCAGAAGCACTCTTTGTTGCACCAGCAACATTCCCAAAGAGCTTGACTCTGTACCCATCATAAACAATTTCTGCAGTGAAGAACTACCATGCTGGCAAACCCATACTGAAGGTCTGCCTGACAGCAAGCTTCCTGAAGCATGTAGGAGAAAGTGCCAGAAGTCCAGAGGAATAGTCTTCATTCTGGGACAGCTCCATATCCTTGAGTTGTTTGGAATTGCAGAGGAGATCCTAGAACAGAGGAATAAGAAGTCCAGCAAAAGGAGAAGAGCTGAGCCTGACTTATCTCGTGGAAGACCATTAATAAGAAAAAACAAAATGTTGGGGCGCCTGGGTGGCTCAGTGGGTTGAGCCTCTGCCTTCAGCTCGGGTCATGATCTCAGGGTCCTGGGATCGAGCCCCACATCAGGCTCTTTGCTCAGCGGAGAGCCTGCTTCCCCCCCCACTCCGCCTGCCTCTCTGCCTACTTGTGATCTCTGTCAAATAAAATCTTTTTAAAAATCTTTAAAACACAAACCCCCGCCCCCAACAAAAATGTTGGGGCAACTGGGTGGCTCAATCAGTTAAGCAGCTGCTTTTGGCTGAGATCATGATCCCAGGGTCCTGAGATGGAGCCCCACATCAGGCTCTCTGCTCAGCGGCGAGTCGGCTTCTCCCTCTCTGTGATCTCTCTGGCTTTAAAAAAAAGAAAAAGAAAAAGAAAAAAATGTTGGATAGATATGTGTACTTAATTTTCTGCTTTCTGCATAGAAATAAAATGTAAACTGATCATGAGTGTCTGCCTTGTGAAGAGTCTGGCACTGTGCTTAGTGTTTTATCTATTCTTTCTTACAGAATTCCCCCAACAATCCTAATCCATCCATGTTGTTGTCCCTGTATTACACATGAAGAAAAAAAGCTCAGAGGGGTGAAGTGACTCCTCTCTGGTAGACTTGTGATTTGAAATTCAGATGCCCTGCCTTTAAAGGAAAAGAAGATTTATCCGACTTCTCTGTGATGTGTGAGCAAGATACTACAACAGCACCACTTAGGAAGCAGGGGCTTGAATGGCAGTCAGTCCTCTGGATATCTGGGTCTTGATGTTTAGGGTTGATATTAATTATTTTAGTGACCATTTCTATCAATACGTAGGAGAGTTCAGAGGCCTTAATCTGTTTTCAGATTGGTACAGTGAAAAGATATGGGAGTCTGCAATCAACTGGTAAAGGTCCATCATTTAATTGACTGTGTGACCTTGAACTTCAGTTTTCTCATCTGTAAAATGAAAAACATCTTCCTTATTTCCTTTCCACAGGGTTTGTGAGGATCCAGTGCTTTATTGCTTGTAAAATCTCCGACCTGAGTAAAAGACTGTTAGTAAAGATTTCTTCCCAGCTGCTGCTAGAACCTATCTGTTGAACATTTTTTTTTTAATGACAGGCATGTATTGCACAAGGCAGATTGAAAAAAATTCCCTTAAACAAAAATAAAATGTCCATAATTTCACTACCTTAACAAACCAGACATTGGCATCTTTCATATATCCTTGTCCTCAAGCAGACGTAATTTTCATATAGTTGCAATTAAAGAAAATTTTGTATTTTGTTTTCCCCTTCAGTTTAATATATTATTTAATATATTAATAATATAACTATTTAAATAACAGCATGATATTGCAGTAGGTGGCTATACCATTGTTTAGCCATCCCCAACTGTGGAGTTATAGTTGTTTTGGGTTTTTAAATAGATAATGTTACAAAGAGCACCTTTGTGCTTAAAGTGTCGCCCCCCACCCCTTTTTCACTTTCTCAATGAAATGATTAGGTCAAAAAAGTTTGAATTAACAGTTTTTGCAGGCAATTTACAAATTAAAAAAATTTTATATCTACGATTCTACAGTTTGAAACTTTTTTTTTTTTTTTAACGATTTTATTTGTTTGACAGCGATAGAGCACAGCAGTCAGAACGGCAGGCAGAGGGAGAGGGAGAAGTCAACTCCCTGCTGACCAGGGAGCCCGATGTAGGGCTCCATTCCAGGACTCCGGGATCATGGTCTGACTGGAAGGGAGACGTTTAACCGACTGAACCACCCAGGCACCTCAATTTGCAAATTTCCTTAAGGAAATTTGGACTTGCCAGTTTACAGGGCGACCAGCTATTTAGGGGCCTATCAATTTCCCGAGACTCTCCATCACTGGGTATTATTGTTAAAAAATAATACCGTTTTGTTTGATTAGTGGAAGGTGGGGAATCATGTGTTGTTGAAAGCCGTTTTCAAAATGAGTTATATTTAATGTGGCTTAATTGGCTACGCCGAACTAATTACTGACACAGACCACAACCTGTTTGGAGCAGCTAACGCAGCGAGCATTTCGTGGTCAAGCGCCCCCTAACGACCAAAACGCCCGCGATGGGGTATGTAGTGGGTAGGGGTGCCTCGGCGCGTGCGCATTCCATTTTCCCCGTTGGGGTTTCTGCGATTTTTTCAGGGGCGTGGGAGCAGAGCAAAAACTAAGGGTAGGACTTGACATCGCGCAGGCGCATCACAATGCCCGCAGATTCGTGGGTGCTAGGAATGGGCGTGGACTTCGCGGCGCAGGCGCACTGGCAGTCTGGAGGGTCGGGGCGCCTGCGCAGTGGTTCGTCGTCAGGCGGCAGCCATGGCGGGTCAAGAGGATCCGGTGCAGCGGGAGATTCACCAGGACTGGGCGAACCGAGAATACATTGAGGTCATCACCAGCAGCATCAAG